CTCGGCTCCCGGCCCTAACCGTTAGTTGCCATCTGGCTCATGAAACCTAATTTATCCTCGCCCTGATTAAGTTAAGCTCTATTAGGCTGTCTCCTCCTCCTCCTCCTCCTCCTCCGCTCAGGACACCAGCCTTGCGCTGGCGATAACAAGCAGGAGGATGCTTTCAGAGAGACCATCCACGGTTGTCATGGCAACAATGCAGAGAGAGAGAGAGAGAGAGAGAGAGAGAGAGAGAGAGAGAGAGAGACCGTGGGTGCTCATGTCACCGTCGAGACAGAAGCGAGGGCCAACCTGGTGCATAACTCAAGACAGTTTCCTCCTTGGCAGGCGGCCGCCTTTCTCCCAAGCGAGATCACACATTGGTGCAAAATGCAGCGGCCCGCATGGTTTCGTGCAGACCCCCCTGTGCGAAGCTGCATGCAGACCTCTCCTGCGGGAGCTGCGTGGGCTGCCGATTGGCTCCTGGGTGCAACTCAAGGTGCTGCTTGTCACCTTTAAAGACCTTCGTGGCTTGGGATCAGGTGTTGTGGCCCGTACGCGGCCTGTGCAGCTAGTAGCTGATTCCGACAGCGAGGAGGCTGGTGTGGTGCTGTGCCAGCAGCCTGTGCAGCTGGCGCTCAAGTCAGACAGTGAGGAGGCTGGAGAAGATGTGGTGCCAGAGGCGGGGATTCAACCAGGGCCTTCAGATCCTCCAGAAGCTCCTTTAAGTGAAGAGGACGAAGAGGAGGAGCCTCTTCTCGATGCACGGCCGCGCAGAGCTGCCAAAAGGCAGGAGTGGCTCCTCAGGAGGAGGTCTCCTCGAGAGTAAAGCTTGGGGCTAATTGGCCACTCCCTTAGCCTATTTAAGGAGGAACGCCAACTGAAGCAATTTGCAGGGAACAACTTCGTTCACAGACCTTCGTGTCTTGTCTTGCTGATCTTATCAGCTTCCTGCAAATTGCTTCTGGGCATTCTGCCAACCACAGTAAGCTTTCAGTTATTATTCTTTGAATTCTTGGCGGCTGTTAATACAATTAATTAACAGCCGTTGTTGTAAAAGACTGGTTTATTCAGTAAACTAAGGTTTGAACGGACTTTGCGTGTGCTGCGTTCTTTGGGGTCCGTAGCTGGGGCAGAACTCCAGGTGATCTGAGGGACCGTCTCTTTCCGGTCACATCTACCCGACCCATTAGAGCGGGGAGGCATGGTATTTAAGCGGTTCAGGCCGGTTCAGGAGAACTGGTTGCAGTGAGTGTGCATGGGGGTGGGCCCCTCTCTCTGGAACATCATCCCCCCACAGAGATTAGAATGGCCCCTACTCTAACACTCTTCCAGAAGGCGCTGAAGACCTGGTTGTGCCAGCAGGCCTGGGGAACCCGGAGTGGGATGGAGCCCATTAAATGCCTCGTGTGACGTGTTGTCGCTGGGGTGGGGGTTATTTTATTATATACAATTTATTATATCACCCTTCTCGTCATAAAACGGGGCAAAACTCACTTAACGGTCTCCCAAAAATTTTGGGCTCCGTTGTGGTCGTAACTCGAGGACTCCCTATATTAGGGCTAGAGGGGGGGGAGATTCAGAGTTAGATCTCCACTTGATGATGGACCTCATTGGCTGACCTTGGGCCAGTTGTCCTCTCTTGACCCAACCAATCTTTGCAGCGATATCACAGACACAAGGAGACGAGAATATAATTCCATGCACATCTTGTTGAATTAAACAGAGGAAGCACGGACATGAAAGGCACAGATGAATTAAAATATTATTCATTATTAGGTGACGACATCAAAGGCGCCTTCATATTTGCATTCTGGGACAGGGCGGATGAGAAGAGAAATTTACCCTCTCATTTCAGAGGAAAAATATCCATCCAAGCCAAATCTTTTATTGGCTAGCTCCCTCTTCGTTTTCTTTTAAGTTGCTAACCTCATTGGGTTTTTTTTTGTTTTGCTTTTAAATGAATTGGTTTGGCTGAAGGAATCCCATTGCATTAACAACTTTTGGATGGATGTGGTCGGAGGCTTATAAATATGGGGGGGGGGGAAAGGGGGGGGGATCACCTTTTTTAAAGCCAGATGTCAGTTTTGGTAGCTGGAAGAACTGGTTCTCTGCCCTAATGACCAGATGGGTAGGCGTGGCTTGGTGGTCATGTGACCATGTGGATGTGGCCAACTCAACATCACTCACGTCGATGGGCGCTTCGCCTTAGCTGTTACAATGTAATAAGGGTTAACCAGAGAGGTAGTTTCTGTAAGCAGGGCAATAAAGATTAGGCTAGAAACAACACCAGAATGTTTCAGTTCCTTACAGGATTAGCCCTGTAAAGTGGAAAAAACAAAACAAAATAAGATTTCTTCCAACAACTGGTTCTCCAAACTGCTTAGAAAGTTAACAACTGGTTCTCCCGAATAGGTGCGAACTGGCTGAATCCCACCACTGGAGATACTCCAGAGCAGGGGTCTCCAATCTTGGCAACTTTAAGACTTGTGGACTTTAAGCTTTGCTGGCTGAGGAATTCTGGGAGTTGAAGTCCACAAGTCTTAAA